CGAGCAACAACTAAATAAGATTGGGGAGCACGTGATCTAGGGTAGCCGTAGTATCCACCTACAATCGGTTCCAGAGACCCCCATAATCTTGAACCTCTCTGCATGCCTTACTATATAGGCTCCAACACGTGTAGCTATATGAGGATTTGGGCCTCACACTGTTATATTCTACACTGCATAGTGCTAATCTAGATACCTCAAAGATTAAGAACAACTAGGTAGAGGGTGAGGAGAGCTTATCATCAAGTTGTTGATAGATCGAATCGCACAAGGTATAATACTATAGAATGAAATAGTAATAATCGGGTCAGATTTTCTATCACAGAGTATTAAATAAAATGAAGTACAGAACAGTATCATCACCATGGAGGCCAAGAGAATTAATTCTCCAACCGAAAGTGCAACAGGTTCAGCGTTTTAGTTGCTTTATAATGGCTGTGTATGTCTCCACTACCCTCTTCTCCTTGGGACCTAGATGGATCTTTTCGAAATTTGGTGGCAGGATCTTATTTGCTCTGAAAGTATACCATTAGCATCATATTAAGTGAGAAGGAAAGTAGAGAAGAGAAGCAGTTTATCATACATACTTTTCATAGCGCACCTTCATGTTTCGGATCTTGTCCTTCAGATCAACATTACTACGGTCCTGTAGAACTGCACCATCTGAATGTTCCTTATCCATCAGCTGCAGGATCCTCCATTTTGGCCCATACTCGACAAATAGCTGGAGAAGACGTCTCTCCTCCTCCTCAGACCACATGCGTCGGGGCGGCAGTGGGCTACCATCACGGCGAGTGGTGGCTGGCCTCCGCAGCTGGGTTGCCCTGGGGGGAAGAGATGGTGGAGGTGCTGGTGATGAGTGCAGCTGCTCTGAGGATAAGAGCGGGTCAACACTCTGCTGATGAGACGGCAAATCCAATGAATGTGAGGGTTCTGATGATGATGATGATGCTGACTGCATAGAGATATGGTGATCTTTATCCTTGAGGGGTAATGGCTGTTCTGGGGCGTGGTCATCTTCACTATAGAATGACTCGGAGTAGGGCTGGAATAATAATGAAGAAGAACCATCCTCATCATTTAAAGATCCAGTGGGATTGGAGAATGCCGTCTGCTGTCTATGGCCCTGCCTATGGCCCTGCCTATGGCCCTGTCTAGTCCACTGGGGAGTATCCCTATTGACTCTGACTGACTCTGGAGGAGCCCGGCCATGATGCCTCCATGATCTTTTGATCTTTGAAGAGTCATCTTCAATCAAGGAGTTCAAGGGTCGCTCTCGCTTCCGTGATCCAGCATGGTGTTGCATTTCTACATGCTGGCTTTGACATTCAGATAGCCTCATCGATCCAGGGTGTTTATTTTGATAACTTAGAGCCATAGGTTGAGTCTGCCTGTGTGATGCTGTCTGTTCAGATGAATGCTCACTGTGTTCTACTTCTAGATACACTGGGCTTCTATCCCGACGCTTCCGACTGAGATGTTGACGCGAATGCTTCACCTGTCTCGATATAGGGATCCCGGTAGGTCTTGGCAGTTCATGACTGGAATCCGACCTCTCATCATCTCTTCCTCCACTGTGGAGCCTTCTTCCCACCGGCAACCGATGCAAACGACCCGGCCTTGTTGGTGATATAATACTTGATGGATGATTGGATCTTCTCAATGCTGTCCTCTGATCAGCAGAGTGGACAGTGGATGTGACCAAACCCTTTCCAATCTGATCTGTCTTCCATAACTGTCTTCGTGTATGGGAGGATTGTTTCTGAGGTGCTGGGACCGTGGCTCTCTCCCGATGGGGGTGGTTGGATCGTCTTGATCTTGGCTGAGAGTCTGGAATCTCCTCCACCCATTTATGGACATCTTCATGCCCACGAACCATGCTAAAATGTAATGAAGATGCTAATGAAGATGAGGTAGTCTTGTTCAGCTGATCTGATCAGTGTGGTATGGAAAGAATGATAAAAGCAAGCAGCTATCCCAGGTGAAAAGGCTTTTCCACCGGCCAGCGGTCACCAGACAGCCACTGGTCAATATCATGTTATTTCAATCTCAATCTTATTTATCCTTCATCACTTGAACCCCTGACGATCAACCCAATATAGGGTTGGAGTTGAAAGAAACTTCACTAACAGTCAACCTTGATGGCTTGGCAACAGCTATGATTTGCTCTCAAAGCAAAGACCAGACCGGCCTAATAGGATGATAGAGCCTCTGATTGGTTGAACCTCTCTTGATTCATAAAAAAAGAATGATATATCCAGCCACGGAGCACCTGCCGTTCGCCATTCAGCTTACCATTTTACAATAGACACAATAGAAATATATGAGGAACTGCCAGCATGCAACAATCTAAAATCCATCCACCATCTGCCTCTGTTAGTTCCAACGGAATTTCATCATGTCATTATGTCGTGGTCGTCCTCACATCTATGCCAACCAGGGGGCTCAGCAGGAGGCTCGACGTAAGCGCAGACGCACTCAGTATCAGCTCAAACGGGATCTCCAGGAAGGTCAGATCCTGCAGCGATATTATCATCAGTTCAGTAAGACTCTTCCCTGCCAGCACCAAACATGTGGAGAGCTGATCAAGCTACCATTCTATCCCAGTTGACCAGAATCCTTGGGAACAGCCTTTGGATGTGTCCCCACCATTGCTCCAGCAGAGGACCGATGTCTCTGTGGTTCAAAAGCAGGCTCTCCCCATGCAGAATGAACCTGGGAACAATGAACCTGGAAACTCTTCATCTTTCTCACCCTCATCACCTGGTGGCCTCCACCCGCCCCCTCAGTCTCCCACACCAGCATCCACGGTGAGCCATTACGCCCTTGCAGATGATAACAGGTGGTTCGATATGGATGGTCCATCTGCAGATGTGGATTCATTTGATGATGTGGAAGATAGAAGCCAATCCAGCTACAGGATGACCCCAGAGGCCATCCATCTTGTAGAGCACAGGAGATCAAGCACAGCTCCTCTCTCACCAACTGCTGAGGCCTTATCACCCCTCTCATCACCACCCTCTGCGGCGGCACCACCACCCCAGGCTCCAGTGTCCATTCTTGCCCAAGGGCTTGCCGAGCAGCTGCAGCAGCACCATGGCTGTCTGGGGGACAGCCACTGGGAGTATCCCTTCGACATGCGGCCTGTTGACCATCCATCCCCGCCTGGGACCCCCTTCCCCTCCAAGGCGACACCATCCCGGCCCATCCACTCTGTGCGCCTGAGTGAGATCATCCAGTGGGCCTGCCCGGATATCCTGTCGCGGCCACAGATAGCTCAATTTGGGGAGCCCTGGGATGAACAGCTCCCCCCACTGCAGAGGCAGAAGATCTTCAGTGGGCTGGATGTCAGGGATGACTCCACCCCTCCAGAACCACCCACCGTGGACATCGCCTCGGAGGACGTCCCCGACGGGCCACTGATGCCATCCAAGGATATCGACAGCGTGGGGGGATTCGCCTCCAGCCTCGCTGTGGCCCGGGCGGGCATTCACTGGCTGGCAGCTAGGCCCCCTGTGTCCTCCCTCCAGGCAGGGCTGCATCTCTCCCCAATCCCCGTGACATGGGAGCCCTCGTCAGAGGCCTCATGCCCCCGGCGCAGCCAGAGACCGATCCACCAGATCCCACATCTTCCCCTGGGCCGGCTGGGTGGGTTCGAGGATCTAGAGCTCTACGCCCTGTTTCCCAAACTACATGACCCCGAGCGCCAGCACTTCATCATCCGCGAGGATGAGTACCGGCTGTGGACCGATCAGATTGTTCTTCCTGCCCTCCATGAGTGCTACTCTACCGCCCTGCTGGGCCACATCCCCTCCAGCACCGATCACATAAGGCTCAATGCCACCGCGCGATGGGTTGAGGGCCGTGTGAGTCACAGCAGCAGTGCACCTCGCGTCCAGCTTTTTCGGCACTTTCTCCCCCCAGAGGGTCTGGCCCCACTATGGCAGGCAATCCAGACGCGTATCCAACAACCTACACTGCTTCAGTTCCAGGGTGTAATGCTCTTCCTGACAGCCAAGAACCTGAAGCTGCAGACCCAGAGCCGCACCTGGATGGAGATGCACAAAAGGTTCCTCCACCGATGGGAGCTTGCAGTCGATCCCCAGTTTATTGAGGAGGAGTTCATCGACATTGGCAAGGAGATCTGCCCCCCTCAGAGCTACCTGGCCACACAGCAGGCAGACCAGATCCCCGGGACAGTGCTGTGGCGGCGGTGCTGCCTGCAGAGCTTTGCACGGTGGTGTGGGGACTGTCTGCCTGAATCCACCACAGCACCAGACCCCAGCGGCACTGGACATGAGAGCCAGAGAGACAACGGGGACACTGAAGAGGATTCTGGGGGTGATGTATACCATGAGCACACTGATCAGGTGGACCTCCCCACCAGCAGCTCTCCTCAGCCCCAGAAGGTCAAGAACCCCTTCCACCAGGAGTTCTACCCAATGTCCTTCCTGTCTGAAGCAGGCTCACTGACCCTGGAGACGCGGCCCCGATCGGCACTTCGACAGTCAGGGCTACTCTACTGCCAGTTCTACAACACAATCAAGGAGGTCTTCGCGGCTGGGGAATCACTATGCCTTCGGGGCTGAACACCTGGACACCCTTGCTCTGGACCCAGGCCTGGTCCGCATGTGGCAGCACGTTGGGCCGCGGGGTCAGCCATCAGCCACTACAGGTGCTGCAGGCGTACCTTCACACCAAACAGCGCTGCCACCGGGCACTGGAGGCCTCCCGACAGAAGGCCTTCGCAGTGCGTGAGGAGTACCGGGTTAGCGGCGAGCTCTACCGGGCCATCCACGCGGCCATGCAGGATCAGGGGTGGGTAGATGAGCCACTCCCCCAGCCTGCATCCTCACTGAGGCCCTTCCACCACCAGCCAACACCACTCATCATGGACTGGCTCCGGTGGAACATCAACCGGCTCTGCACGGGGTTTGAGATGGTCTACAGCCTCCGGCAGCGGAACCTCGTGCAGTGGGAGCACACACGTGTGATGATGATGTTCCTCCAGTGCCTGCAGCACATGTATGGCGGGCAGGGGCGTCACCTACGCCACAGCAACGGGCTCTGGCTCGACCGTGTAGTCCAACCCCGGCGTGACGGGCAGGGCGAGCGAGTCCAGGAGGGGATGGGGTTCCAGAGCAACCTCCGGCGGTATCAGTACGCCTGGATGTGCGATAAGCTGGACTGGACCGCAATGATCTTCAAGCCTGCACACCGGGCCCATCTGACCTTCAACACGCCCACCCTGCAGCAGGCGTTCCACCACCGGTATGGGCAGGTGAACTCAGCCAAACGGGACTTCCTCCTCGTCCAGGACCTGCTGGCGCGGATGCGCGACCCAGCCACCACCACCACTCAGGCCCGTCTCCTGCTCCAGCTGTGCATTGACACCTGCCTGCGGGCATTCCGCAAGGAGGTGTTTACCCACCTAGACCAGGGCCAGCGGGTCTCATGGCGCTGGCAACCCCAGCAGCGGCAGCAGGCCCTGGCCGGGGAGATCGCACTAACCTGGGCCGGGCTGCAGTTGGTGTTCCCCGAGCTCACCGACCCGGGAATGATACACGCGGTGGCAGGTCACAACATGCGCGTGCGCAGCATATCCGTCCTGTTCACATGGCTCTGGGGGTGGGAGGGGGATGGCAACAGGTGCATTCTAGCACGGCAACACTGGGTGGATAAGCCCTACCGGTTGCTGTTCCAGCAGTGCTTCGGTGAGGTGGCCCTGGCATTTGGGGTCGAGCAGGCCCGGGCTTGGCGGGCCAACCTGCGGTCGATCTTCATCCGCACCCACTGGCTCCTCCCATACCCCTCATCAACCAGCTTCTGGTCCCATGGTGGGCAGCGGCGCCTTCAGTGGTGGTCTAGCGTGCACCCCGGCGTGCAGCAGTACGTCCGGAAGAAGAAAAAGAAGCAGCAACCATCTCCAGATCCAGCCCCACTGCACATTGAGCCCTGGGAGGTCGTTCACCTCCCCCTGAGCGGCTGGGAGCGCTCCTCCTCTGTCATGCAGGGGATCGACATCAGGCTTCCAAGCACGCCGGACTCCATAGATGATTTCCTCACTGATGTGCCACTGGAGCCTACTGAGGAGCCCACCATGCGTGATGAACACATCCTGCTCCCAGTGATTGGGCAGAGTGTGAAGCTGATCTACAGCACGCTACCAGACATTGCACCAAGCTACCAGCTACGGTCCCACAGACGGGGAGAGCACCAAGGCACTCCACAGCATGATCCTGCATGGTGGAAGTCCCACCTCCAGTCCTATCTACAGAGGCTCATCCAGAGCAAGCATGATGCCATCCAGTCACTGAAGTTCGCCCAACGGTCCCGCCAGTGGCAGAGTGGTCCACAGCCAGTACAGAAGATAGCTAACACCGAGCCGGATTCCGATCCTGAGTCACTGAGCCAGCAGTATATCCAGGAGGTAAAGCAGCTCCAGGCTCTGAAGAAACAAGAGCGGAAGGTGTGGGAATATAACACCCGATATATGCATCATTGGCAGCATATGAAATCACTGCAGCAACAGTCTCAGAGCAGTGCCAGCAGTCGATGGTCTGCACAAGAATGGAAGAGCTTCCAGGAACAGTTTCAACGGGCGCGGCATCGGGCACAGAAGTATGAGTATCAGCTGAGAAAGTCCACCCACAAGATCACTGAGCAGGTAGGATGACAGATTCAACGTGATGTGGTGATAAACAAGCAGCAAATAAAGGTAGTGTTAAATCGTCAATTCAGATTAAACAGAAATAGAGATATTAAAACAGTTGTAAAAGGGAGATATATATATATTCATAACCCTATGAGATAATGTTTTCCTGTTCTTAATAGTCTGCATCTTATTTGATTTTAGTACTCCTCTGATGAATGTTATTAGGTCCCAAATAAATTTCATATTGTCTTTATTGATTGGTATTTTTCCTTCTTCTCTTCTTCCTCATCATTAATGTTCTATATAGCTCCAACTGGCCCCAGTTGAAACAAATACTTCAATTAGAGTTTTTACTTCTAGTAGTCTTTATTATACTACACCACCTGGGGAAGAACAATCTACAATGGAGCCTGCATATAGCAGGCCTTAACTGCAACACCTACCACATCCAGTGGTTAATGCTGCCATGAATGATAATTCAACCTACACTAATCTCCATCTATATAATTCTTATGATCCCTTCACCCTCCTCCTATCACCCCCCCTTATAACCCCCTATATGCCCCCTATAACCCCCTCCCTATCAACCTCTCCTATCGCCCCCTCTATTGAAGTGGTTTACAGGGTATTGTGCTTCAGGCGGTAGCAAGCAAGCAAGGATCAGGCTTTTAGTATAATGATTTGCTATTTAATCATCTATAATAATTATAAATGATAAAACAACAAGAAAAGAATCAGGGCAACTAAACTAATCAACCACTGAGTCAATTGACTTCAAACATTGCATGTAGGCCGTAGTGGATATGAAATACAACATATCCAAATCAAAAGCGATAATTCCGCCGGGAAGGGGTTACATTGTGGTGTCAAAGTCAATGAGTTGAGGTGCGATGTTTGATGGGGTAAGCCACCAACCCAACCAGACCCAACTAAATATATATATTTTCACCCAGGCAACGGAGCGGTGCAAAGCGGTGCAGGATCAACAAAGTAAATAAAAATAGCAAAACATATAAGAAAACTGAAAGGCTTCATTCTGGAGTGATTTTAAACACAGAAAAACAAACATTCACACCAGATCAGATCTGTCAAGTTTCACACAAAGACACTGAATGAAGGAAATATATATATATTCAATGCACAAGACAGACCAAGCATCGACATGGAACATCAATTATTTGTCCACTGTGAATCATACCTCATTATCATATGCCGCCGGTGCAAGCATGCTGTGTGGCCAACAGAGATTGAACGGCATCTGAAAGGCAAGGCCCATCAGCTAAAGCATGCGGTGGTTCAGCAGATAAAGGAGAACATTGAACAGTGGGACAATGTGGCTCGAGATACTACACAGTTAACACTGCCCACATACTACACAGTTAACACTATCCAACAGGTGGGGGTGGAATGGACGTCCATTCCATTCAGGGTTAGAAAACCGACCAATCAGAGCAGGGCAGATTGGACGTACATTCCATTTGGTTTCAGACGTTGAACGTCCAATCAACCACGGAGTCAATTGACTTCAAACTTTGCATGTAGGCCGTAGTGGATATGAAATACAACATATCCAAATCAAAAGCGATAATTCCGCCGGGAAGGGGTTACATTGTGGTGTCAAAGTCAATGAGTTGAGGTGCGATGTTTGATGGGGTAAGCCATCAACCCAACCAGACCCAACTAAATATCTATATTTTCACCCAGGCAACGGAGCGGTTAGGGTTACTAGATCAACAAAGTAAATAAAAATAGCAAAATATATAAAAAAACTGAAAGGCTTCATTCTGGAGTGATTTTAAACAGAGAAAAACAAACATTAGTCGAACACGCTGGACCCTAAGCCGTTGGACGTCAAACCCGTCCAACCAGGAGTCAGAGATGGAGAGCCAGCAGGGTGAAACCCACATCAGATTCAACAGCACATGCAGTCCCAGAATGGCCAGAAGTGTGAGCAAGAGCACAGACAACAACATAAATGAAAGCATCACCAAGAATGAGGCTTCAACTATCGCCTCGTCCGTAGGTTTGTGCAAAATTAGCGTGGTTTCATTAGTGTATATTATACGAGATCTCATTGAATAATCAGTGTATTTTTGAGTATTCATTGGTATTAGGGTTATATATAAACCCTAATTAAGGATCCGCGTAAATAGATATTAGGATATACTATGAAATTCCGCCCAACATTGAGTTTTCAAACATAAAAGGGTATTTTGACACTCTGAACAGTCAGAACTTGATCTCCCTATCTTTTTATATTTCTGCTGGCCAATCTTTCATTTATATTGACACCAGGCACAAACACGCTGCTTTGGAAGAGAAATCCGTTGATGATTTAGATTAGAATTTGATCATTCCCTTGATAGATTATCATGAATCCTAGATGTGAATTCAAAGAGTTCCTGGTAAAGCTTCTCATGAAAGCTTATATGAGAAGAAAGATCCTTCACTGAAATCCTCTGCTGCTTCATATATAGATATTGAAGCCGGTATGCATTAATAGCTGCGGAATCAATAAGTCAGTAGAGAATAGAAAGCCAGGTGTGATAGATGACTCTATGACTAGTATATGCTGCTCAGTATTGATTTGCTAGATGTACCCCATTCATATGATGATTATAATCACCTATAATCAATGGGATTTTCAGCTTCTTTTGTGATTGACCTTTAAAGACTTTTCTAACAATATTGACATTGATTGAGAGTTCCCCTGAGCCTTTACAAGTACATTCAATAACTGCGTCCAATGAATGAATCGTAGTTAGTGCCAATACCATATTATTATCTTGCCAGGCAAGACAGAGAACATTCTCTTTTTCAATGACATGCAGAGTATTTCAGAGTATGGAATTTGAATGCTCTCAAAGCTCATCTAGTGCTGCTGGAACCTGGTTTGAATGAGTGGTTCCACATGCTCCATACTCCTGTTGACGGAGTTCTTTGAATAAAGGAACTGATGTAAAGTAGTTATCCATATAAATTGAATAGGATGTGACCAGCTGTGAGATAGAGATTTCATTAGATGTGGCATTCGGTGTAGCATTCGGGAGGGTGATATTCGGGTTGATATTAGGGCCAATATTATGGGTGATATTAGGGTCGATATTAGACATGGCACTCAGCATGGTATTCAGTGTATTCGGTGTGGATACCATAGAAAGCCGCTTCACCAGATTCACCACCATAGATCTGGTTTTTGTTAACATAGAGAATTGAAACATAGACATTATACCCTGCCAGCAGCTAGATCAGGAAAAAGATCATAAATAGTCATGTTCTGCTAGGCCAAATATCTTATATCCTCAAGGAATTGGTTTATTAGACATCTTGTATGTATGTTGACTCCATCCAAAATATTTAACCATGATCTCATCAATGGAAATCTTAGAGTCAGGGGTATAGTATTTTCAGCATGCCATATGAAACTTAGTAGCTAATGACTCTATCTTATACCATCAATTCTTATTTTTGACCTCCGGGCGGCGGGCCTCATGAAGGTTAGATATATGGATATATCATTTAATCTGTTCAAAACGCATATGGGTCATATAGAATTGAATGGAATGAATAGAGTCTTGTTTCAGCTCATTCTGCCCGTATAGATCAATTCAATGGAATTTATGAACTTTCATATAAAGAAGAATGCCTATAAAGACCTTTATCTCTGCTGAATTGATATTTTTCCATGAACATTGCTGAATAGAAAGCTTTGAGAATATAGATATTTCAGAAATCTCTATATCTATATCTTGAGCTTTCTCATTCTTTTTCATTTCTGAAAGCTCTGAAGCTTCATCATCAGTATCTCTGGTATCTCTCTTTAATTTTGCATAGAGATTAGTAGAATTACTGATATTTTAAAAGCATTTCTCAGAGAAAAATAAGATAAACAGAATGTATGAACTGCTGATATTGATATTTGCAGAAATATTGAAAATTGAATCTCATGAGATAGGCAATATTGAGTGGGATTTCACCGATTCTAGAGGTGGAAGTTCTGCAATAACCTCCTCAACAGACTGTTTTCATTTTCTTGATGTTTTTGTATGAACTAGAGAATGAATTAGTTAGCTAGGTCATTTGAATTGATTAATATAAGGAACTCACCATTGGATTTGGTAGGTTTCTCAGTGGATTCCACATTCGCAGGTTTGGGGGGTTCCATATTCGCGGGTAGGGGGATAGGTGGGAGAAGATATGAGAATCAGGCAGGCAGGCAGACAGGCAGGGCTTCAAACATGTTGAATTCCATACACATTCTTAAGATCTACATGAGATCTTCAATCAGTGGATCTAAATGACCAATTATTATTCATATAAAATCATATAGGATTCTATTGGTTATGCCCAGGGCGCCGGTGCAGAATTCCATACACTAATTGAAACCACGCTAATTTTGCACCAACCTACGGACGAGAAATGTGATTTTTGTCGAGCTTTTAACATTTTTTTGTTGTTTTTCTAACATTACACAAATATTAACAAGTATTTCTCTTTATTCAGAGTCAGATAACAAACTGAATCTATTATTCACAACTTCAACTGCTATCATATTCTGCATATGTGTATCCCTTATTTTGTTTGAACAGAGGTTCTTGGTGACTTCTGTGATCTAATTTTTTGCCTCGCAGAAGATTCAGAGATAGCAGATTCAGAGAGTTGAGAATTCCTTCTTTTTTATTTATTGCTATCATTTACATCAGTAGAGACTGAGTTATTTGTCTGTACTGATGGCTTTCCTGATTTGGGAGCAAATATACATTCTTTTGAATTTGCAAAGTGAGGCTCTTTACAATTGGCAACCCATTGGAAGTTGAGACGTTGAAACCATTGGAAGTCGAACCCGCTGAACGAACCCGTTAACCCGTTGGACCCAAACCAGTGGGATGACACCATTTAAAAGTCAAACCCGCTGGACATGCCCGTTGAAGGTTATAGGGTTAGGGTTAAACTATCCAAGTTCTACATAGTGCGTGGTCCGACGCGCCCCCGTCCGATTTTCTCCGTCCCTGATTGGCCGCCCGTGCGTGCTCCCGCTCCCGCCTCCGCGTGCCCGCAGTGGGGCCCGGTCACAGTCGAGCTCCCTCTTCCCTTCCCTTCCGCGGCAGCCAGCCACCCCATTACTTCAAACTTTGCATGTAGGCCGTAGTGGATATGAAATACAACATATCCCAAATCAAAAGCGATAATTCCGTCGGGAAAGGGTTACATTGTGGTGTCAAAGTCAATGAGTTGAGGTGCGATGTTTGATGGGGTAAGCCACCAACCCAACCAGACCCAACTAAATATATATATTTTCACCCAGGCAACGGAGCGGTGCAAAGCGGTGCAGGATCAACAAAGTAAATAAAAATAGCAAAACATATAAGAAAACTGAAAGGCTTCATTCTGGAGTGATTTTAAACACAGAAAAACAAACATTCACACCAGATCAGATCTGTCAAGTTTCACACAAAGACACTGAATGAAGGAAATATATATATATTCAATGCACAAGACAGACCCAGCATCGACATGGAACATCAATTATTTATCCACTGTGAATCATACCTCATTATCATATGCCGCCGGTGCAAGCACGCTGTGTGGCCAACAGAGATTGAACGGCATCTGAAAGGCAAGGCCCATCAGCTAAAGCATGCGGTGGTTCAGCAGATAAAGGAGAACATTGAACAGTGGGACAATGTGGCTCGAGATACTACACAGTTAACACTGCCCACAATACTGAATGAACCAATCCCGGAACTACCCATTCATGATGGCTACAGGTGCCAGCGGGATCCCCAGTGCCAGTATGTGGCAGGGAACATGAACACCATGCGCAAGCACTGGCAGAACAAGCACAGCTGGTCGCCATATCCCAGCCGTGGCCGTACAGCGCCACAAAAGCGTACGGCAGCACAGGATGAGGTGGACAGATCATGCCAGAAGGTGCAGTTCCAGCAGATATTTGCATCGCGCAAGGACTCCCACTACATACAGATCCAGACTAAGGAGACTACTGAGCATACCGGCACGCAAGACCAGAACAGAGCCAGCCAGGCCATTGATGAGCTGGAGCGATTTTACCAGGAACAGCAACGGCAGACCAGCAATGTCATCCAGGCCGGGGAGCACGATGAAGCCAACCCATGGCTGCGGCGGACCAGATGGCCGGTGTACTTGACCAACATCGCACCCAATGATCTGGTCAACTGCGTCCAGCGGCCCGAGGATGACACCACGTGCCCAGATGAACTGGCCGCGAGGGCTATCCAACAGGTGGGGGTGGAATGGACGTCCATTCCATTCAGGGTTAGAAAACCGACCAATCAGAGCAGGGCAGATTGGACGTACATTCCATTTGGTTTCAGACGTTGAACGTCCAATCAACCACGGAGTCAATTGACTTCAAACTTTGCATGTAGGCCGTAGTGGATATGAAATACAACATATCCAAATCAAAAGCGATAATTCCGCCGGGAAGGGGTTACATTGTGGTGTCAAAGTCAATGAGTTGAGGTGCGATGTTTGATGGGGTAAGCCATCAACCCAACCAGACCCAACTAAATATCTATATTTTCACCCAGGCAACGGAGCGGTTAGGGTTACTAGATCAACAAAGTAAATAAAAATAGCAAAATATATAAAAAAACTGAAAGGCTTTATTCTGGAGTGATTTTAAACAGAGAAAAACAAACATTAGTCGAACACGCTGGACCCAAACCCGTTGGACGTCAAACCCGTCCAAGGAGCCCATTCACCCATTGGACCCGAACCCGTTGGATGAACCCATCAACCTGTTGGAAGTCGAGCACGCTGGACGATTATATCAGAAGGTAGAGGGGGGGGTTCAAAAATATTGGAGTTTTAAAGAGCATTATCCCATACAATAATGGGCCAGGGTTAGGGTTACAAAGAGTGAGGGTAGAGGCTGGGGGGGAGGATGAGGTGGTCAGAGTCAGGGTTAGAGTGAGGGGTGTTCAGGGGTCGAACCGGTTGAACGAACCCGTCAACCCGTTGGACCCAAACCAGTGGGATGAAACCATTTAAAAGTCAAACCCGCTGGACATGCCCGTTGAAGGTTATAGGGTTAGGGTTAAACTATCCAAGTTCTACATAGTGCGTGGTCCGACGCGCCCCCGTCCGATTTTCTCCGTCCCTGATTGGCCGCCCGTGCGTGCTCCCGCTCCCGCCTCCGCGTGCCCGCAGTGGGGCCCGGTCACAGTCGAGCTCCCTCTTCCCTTCTCATATCTCATCTCTTCTTATCTTGTCAGTTTTTATTGGCCTTATTGGCCTGGCCTGCTCGCACATCCACGCGTCTCCACATTAATGCATTTATATATTGACGCATTCGTGCATGATTGCTGGCTGCTCACTCTCTCTCTCTCTCTCTTTTTTTTTTTCTTTCTCTCTCTTATGTTTTGCTCTTTCTTCTGATCTCTGACTGACCTCTTTTAAATATACTCTTTCAAATATTGACAGACAGCCAACTTTGATGAGAGATTTACTGTGAGAATGGATCTCTTTATTTATAATAGGTCCCACCGCCTGTGGATCTGCCGCCCATGTGGATTTGCTGTTGCTGTTGCAAATGTCCTCACCCACCTGGCTAAGCGGCACCGCAACCATCCCTCGGCCGCGACGGCAGGTCTCCGGGAGGCCGCAGTGGCTGCGATGATGCAGGACCAGCTGGAGCCGGTGTTTGACCGCACTCAGAAACCCTGTTGCCCACCGCCTCCGGAGAGTGCTCCAGTCCGAGCTGGTGGTGTACTACCTCTGGCTGATTCTACCTTTCGCGCGGGCGGTCCAGCGGCTTGCATATGGAGACAGTGATAGCCAAGGGGGGCTGCGGTCACCATTTCTCTGGCCGCGGGGGCATGGACCGTGGGACAGCAGCCGGCTGCGGGTGGTGCTTCAGCGCGAGGCAAAGACACACCTCCAGACCAAGCTCAATGTAATCACTTGGCGGCATGCCGCCATTGCCATCTCGCGTATGCACCTGTCCTGTGGAGGGTTCAAGCGGGAATATGAGGCAGATGATGCGGCAGTAGACCAGCAGGCAGGCCATGGATCCTGGGCTGCAGGTACAGTATATGCGCGGGGGCTGCAGGAGGCACCAGGCCACATTGAGGCACGGCGTGTGCGGTACCAGGCTGTCAGCCGGGAGTGGCATGAATTCCTGGGGTTTAACCCAGGCCCAGGGGTGCGAAAGCGGGCACGGAACATGGAAAAGAGCGTTAGCAGAAAAGCTCAAAAACAGCAGCCATCATATGTAACAGTAGAAATAGATGACAACATAGAGCTATAAATGATAAAAGATATATATTTTTCTCATGCAATTCATTATGACCAGATTTCCAACTTCAGCAGCTAGCTGTCATCTTTATAAATTTCAATACAAATCAGCCTTTCACCTCCGTTATAAAATGTATAATATTATATTTTCATAGACAACTCATCACAACCAGACCTTAAACTTCAGGAGCCAGTTATATTATATATACAGAGTATGATATTTAATTTCAAGACATAATTTCATCAGAAAATCATATTATTACAACATTAAGGTAGATAAGTTGTTTTGCAGAGTTATCAATATTAAATATATATATTTCGCCCCAGGGCAACTACCATCATCAAAACGGTCACAGATCAGCGAAATAACAATCAGACAGAAATTAACATCATACATTTAAGTATTGATCTGCAATTGCTTAGAAGCATTACAAAACTTAAATTTAGAGCAAATTAACATTGTCGAGTGAAGTGTGTTTATACTTCATTTTCAAAGAATATATATATATATATATATATATATCAACTCAAGAATACACTGACTTCATTAACATGGAACATCAATTATTCATTCAGTGTGAATCATACCCCATCATCATATGCCGTCAATGCAAGTATGCAGTATGGCCAACAGAAATTGAACGGCATTTGAAGGGTTCAACTCATCAGTTAGAGTATACAGCCACACAGAGTATCAAGCAGATAATTCAACAGTGGGATCATATCGCGCATGATCTCGGCCGGTTGATATTATCCACAGAATTGAACAAACCAATACATGAGCCGCTCATCCACAATGGCTACATGTGTTGGCGGCAATCTGAATGTCAGTATGTTGGAGGAACTATACGGAGCATGTACAAGCACTGACAGACCCAACACAGCTGGACTCCATGTCTCAGTCAGGGTTGGATGTCATCACAAAACCATATGCAGGTACAGAATGAGATCAACAAAGTAAATAAAAATAGCAAAATATATAAAAAAACTGAAAGGGTTCATTCTGGAGTGATTTTAAACACAGAAAAACAAACATTAGTCGAACACGCTGGACCCAAGCCGTTGGACGTCAAACCCGTTGGACGTCAAACCCGTTGGAGGTCGAAGCCGTTGGATGAGCGCATTAACCCGTTGGAAGTCGAACACGCCGGACCCAAACCCGTTGGATGTCGAACCCGTCCAAGGAGCGCATTAACCCATTGGACCCGAACCCGTTGGATGAATCCATCAACCCGTTGGACGTCGAACCCGTTGGACCCAACCCGTTGGACGTCAAACCCGTTGGACGTCAAACCCGTTGGACGTCAAACCCGTTGGACGTCAAACCCGTTGGACGTCAAACCCGTTGGACGTCAAACCCGTTGGACGTCAAACCCGTTGGACGTCGAACCCGTTGGACCCAACCCGTTGGACGTCAAACCCGTTGGAGGTCAAACCCGTTGGACGTCAAACCCGTTGGACGTCAAACCCGTCCCAGGAGCGCATTAACCCGTTGGAAGTCGAACACGCTGGACCCAAACCCGTTGGATGTCGAACCCGTTGGATGAGGAAGTCGAACAGGCTGGACCCAAACCCGTTGGACGTCAAACCCGTCCCAGGAGCCCATTAACCCGTTGGGAGTTGAACACGCTGGACCAAACCCGTTGGACGTCAAACCCGTCCAAGGAGCCCATTAACCCGTTGGGAGTTGAACACGCTGGACCCAACCCGTTGGATGTCGAACCCGTTGGATGAGGAAGTCGAACACGCTGGACCCAACCCCGTTGGACCCAAACCCGTTGGACGTCAAACCCGTCCCGGGAGCGAATTAACCCGTTGGGAGTTGAACACGGTGGACCCAAACCCGTTGGATGTCGAACCCGTCCAAGGAGCGCATTAACCCATTGGACCCGAACCCGTTGGATGAACCCATCAACCCGTTGGACGTCGAACCCGTTGGACCCAACCCGTTGGACGTCAAACCCGTTGGACGTCAAACCCGTTGGACGTCAAACCCGTTGGACGTCAAACCCGTCCCAGGAGCGCATTAACCCGTTGGAAGTCGAACACGCTGGACCCAAACCCGTTGGATGTCGAACCCGTTGGATGAGGAAGTCGAACAGGCTGGACCCAACCCGTTGGACGTCAAAACCGTCCAAGGAGCCCATTCACCCATTGGACCCGAACCCGTTGGATGAACCCATCAACCCGTTGGACGTCGAACCCGTTGGACGATTATATCAGAAGGTAGAGGGGGGGAAGATCGAGTCAGGGGCATAGAGGTCAAATGACATCACAGATGAGAGGCAGATGTTGACGAGCACCACATAGAGATAAAAGATATATGCATATATAAAGATCGATGAAGCGCATTAACCCGTTGGGAGTTGAAGACGCTGGACCCAAACCCGTTGGACGTCAAACCCGTCCAAGGAGCCCATTTACCCATGGACCCGAACCCGT